ACGTGGAAGTGTTCTCTAAAACCACAGTGTTTTCCTTTCTATCATGTGAGGAAAATAGTGTCTGAATGAATTAGCCAACTCTCCACAATTTGGCCATAGCTTTTCTTTACCACATTTTTTTTTTCCGTAGGACAAACATTTTTTAATAAGCAATGAAAGATGTGACTGCATAAACAAACCCTTTATGTGTTAGGGTTTTCACAGTTCATTAAGGGAAAATAGAACCTGCCAAAAGGAGAAAAAATGACAAAGGACAATAAACAATATTAAAATAAATAGATATTAAGTTACTAGAGATCTATGCCTCCAAAGAGTGGTACATAAAATAAAGAAACACGTGCCCTGGCCGGTTTGGCTGAGTGATTAAAGTGTCAGCCCATGGACCATAGAGACCTGGGTTTGGTTCCAGCTAAGGACACGTATCTCGGTTGCAGTTTGTCCCTGGCCCTGGTTGGGGTCATGTGGGTGGCAGCCAGTCAATGTGTCTTTCTCACGTCAATGTTTCTCTCTCTTCCTCCCTTTCTCCCTCCTGATCTATCTGAAGATGAATGCAAAAATGTCCTCGGATGAAGATTAAATAAATAAATAAATAAATAAATAAATAAAGGAACACGTGTGCAATGAATCCTGCAGTTATAAATCTGTACTCCTACTGACATGGAAAGATAGTCATAATAAGAAAAAAAATAAGGTGAGGAGAGGTAGAAGAGGGTAAAGGGTACCCTGAACAGTTTGCTAAATGGTTAGAGCATCGGCCTGTGGTCCAGAGAGACCCAAGTTCGGTTCCCACTAAGGGCACGTACCTCAGTTGCAGTTTGTCCCCAGCCCTGGTTGGGTCGTGTGGATGGCAACCACTCGATGTGTCTCTCTCATGTCAATGTTTCTCTCTCTCTCTCTCTCTCTCTCTCCCTCCCACTCTATCTGAACAAAAAATGGAAAAATGTCCTTGGGTGAGGATAAAAAAAAAAGAAAAAAGAAGGTAAAGGGGGAAAAAGGTGATGTAAGGAGACCTGACCCACGTGGTAAATACACAATACAATAAACAGATGACGTATTGCAGAATTTCTTTACCACAATTTTTAAAAATATATTTTTTCTTTATTGATTTTAGAGAGAGGAAAGGAGAGAGATAGAAACATTGATGAGAACGACTGGCCACCTCCTGCATGCCCCCCACTGGGGATCGGGCCCACAACCTGGGCATGTGGCCTGACTGGGAATCAAACTGGCAACCTTTTGGTGCATGAGTCAATGCTCAATCACTGAGCCATACCGACCGGGCTCTTTACCACAATTTTTACTTCCTACTGCTCTTCCCTATCACAAATCATTGTCACCCTGAATGGACCATGTGCATTCTTAAATCTTTCCCCAAGAGTTAAGATGCTTGCTCTCCTTACATTGATTTAGCTCAAATCCATTCCATCTGTCATGTTCCTAAAGTGCCCCAAGTCATAAAGATCATTTTCTCTTTTGAATTTTTACAATCTTTGTTGTTTATATTACTCATATGGTTCTTATTATATGTTCTATTAGCTTGTCATTATATTAACATACAGTATATCCTGTTTTTCTGATTAAATTGTAAGCCCCTTAAAGATACGTGCTATATTTTTAGATCTCTCTGCATCTTCAGTGCCATTTGGGCCTATACACAGTAGGTGTTCAAACATATATTTGCTAACTGCTTTCTGTGTCCCCAAGATTCCTTCCTTCCTTCCTTCCTTCCTTCCTTCCTTCCTTCCTTCCTTCCTTCCTTCCTTCCTTCCTTCTTTTAAATGTTTTTATTGATTGCTTAGAGAGAGAGAGAGAATAATCAATGATGAGGGAAACATCATTTGGCTGCCTCCCGCATGTCCCCTACTGGGGATGGACTCCATAACCTGGTCATGTGCCCTGGACCAGGAATCAAACTGGGGATCTCCTGGACACAGGTTGATGCTCAACCCTTGAGCCACACCAGTATGTGCCCAGCATTCTTTGAAGCTCTGTGGAATACATAGAAAAGCATAAGAAAAATAGCTATTGCCTTCAAACATTTACAATATTAGAGTAAGTTAAAGTCAAAATATAATCTAAGTGATTAAATAACCATAGCATGATAACTGCTATAAGAAAGACTTCTTGGAAGAGGTAGCCTTTGAGATTGACTTTCATGCATGTAGATTAATGGAACATAATAGAGAGCCTAGAAATAAACCCACACCTTTATGGTCAATTAATATTTGACAGAGGAGGCAAGAACATTAATGGGGTGGAGATAGTCTATCAATAAATGGTGTTGGGAAAATTGGACAGATACATGCAAAATATTGAAACTAGACTACGTTCTTCGACCACACACAAGAATAAACTAAAAAAAATTAAAGAGTTAAATGTTAGACTTGAAACCATAAAAAATCATAGAAGAAAACATAGGTGGTAAAAATCTCAGACATTTCTCGTAGCAATATTTTCCATGCTACATTGCTTTGGGCAGGGGGAAAAAAAGAAAAAGTAAACAAATGGGACTACATCAAGCAAAAAATTTTTGCACAGCAAAGGAAATGATCAACAAAATGAAAAGATAACCCACTGAATAGGAGAACATATTCACCAATGCTACATCTAATAAAGAGGTTAATATCCAAAATGTATAAAGAACTTATAAAACTCAACACCAAAACAACAAACAATCCAATTAAAAATGGGCAAAGGACCTGAATAGACACTTCTCCAAAGAGGACATACAGATGGCTTGTCTGGACAAGCCAAGATGGACAAACAGATTTTTTAAAAAAATGTTCAACATCTCTAGTCATTAGAGAGATGCCAATTAAAACCACAGTGAGCCCTTGCTGGTAAGGCTCAGTGGACAGAGCATTGTCCCATGCACCAAAGAATCATGGGTTCGATTCTGGGTTGTAGGTTCAATCCCTGGGCCCTGCTGGGGTGTGTGTGAGAGGCAACTGATGGAAGTGTCTCTTTCACATTGATGTTTCTCCTCTCCCCTTCCTCCCTCCCTTTATTCTCTCTAAAAATCAATAGAAAAAATATTCTCAGGTGAAGATTAACCCCCTCAACCCCACAATGAGATATTACCTCACACCTGTCAGAATGGCTATCATTAATAAATCAACAAACAACAAGTGTTGATGAGGATGTGGAGAAAATGGAACCCTCATGCACTGTTGGAGCACCCACTATGAAAAACACTGTGGAGATTCCTCAAAAAATTAAGAATGGAACTGCCTTCTGATCCAGCAATTCCACTTCAGGGAATATATCCAAAGAAACCTGAAACACTAATTCTAAAGAACATGTGCACCCCTATGTTCATTGCAGGATTATTTACAATAGCAAAGATTTGGAAGCAGCCCAGTGTCCATCAGTAGATGAATAGATAAAAAAGTGGTGGTACCTTTACACAATGGAATACTATTTGGCTGTAAAAAAGAAGGAAATCTTACTCTTCAATAGCGTAGATGGACACAGAGAGCATTATGCTAAATGAAATAAGCCAGTCAGAGAAAGATAAGTACCACGTTGTTTCACTCATATGTGGAATCTAATGAACAAAATAAACTAACAAACAAAATAGAAACAGACTCTTAGATAGAGAATAGACTGACAGCTGACAGAGGGGAGGGGGTTTGTGGGGCCAGGTAAAAAAGGCGAAAGGATTAAGCAAACAAACTAACAAACCAAAAACCAAACTTATAGACACAAACAACAGCATAGTGATTGCCAGATGAAAGGGTGTGGTGGGGGGAGGTAGAGAAAGGTATAGGGGAATAAATGGTGATGGAAGGAGACTTGATTTGTAGTAGTGAACACACAATATAATATACAGATGATGTGTTATAGAATTGTACACATGAAACCTATACAATTTTATTAACCAATGTCACCCCAATAAATTTAATTTAAAAAGAGATTGACTTTGAGGAAAGGTTAAGATTTTGATGTTAAAAGATGGGATGAATGCCAGAGTGAAGGGTCGAGTATAGTGAAGAGATTGACCAAGACTGTGGCAATGAACAGTAAGACTCAGAAACAGGATCAGGGGCTCATACAAGAGATTAGAAATATGGTTCTGCCTCATTTACACTGAAGCACAACCTTATTTCACATTTCAGGGACAATGCAAAAAGTGGTATGCAGGGGTTGAAACTTTAATATGTTCCTGACTATGGTCCTCAAGTATAGCTTCTTTGGAGATTGAGAATGATTTGCAATAGTTCTTTTTGTTCTAATGTGACTCGCCTACAGTCTGATGTGATAGTACATACAAAGCAAAAGGCCCCTTGACTCCTCTTGGGGACAGAGGATTGGTTGGATTATGGCCAGCCTCTCTTTTCTTTAACACACAAATCAAATTGAATGAGTTACTCATGATTTTCTAAACTTGCCTTAGAGCTTGTTATTAAGTAATAATTTGCCTTAGATTATTTCTTGGAAAAGTTGGAAGCGTTTTTGTGGAATTACATTAACAATCATCTTTAGCTCAACTCTGTGGTTTTTGCTGCCAACCTGAGACCTAAGGAGGAGACCTAAATTATAGTGAATCTGTGGAGGAGATAGGATCACTGCCTGTCTGCTTATCTTAATGCTCTTTAATCTGGCCACTGGCTCAGAGATTAACAAGTAACCTTGGAAGGCCCTTTCCCCTCATCCTCAATTACTTCGATCTGCAACCCCCAAGGGATGTTTCCCTAGAATTTAAAAATCATCCAAGGAATACAATCAGAATAGACAAAACCAACACTTTCCCACTTTCCAAGGGTTAGGAGCAGCTGCAAATAGAAGAATGAGATTTTCACTTTCTAACAAGCAGTTGGAAGGACCTTCACGCCCAGAGGCCCCTGAAGGGAGGGAGGCGGTTTCCACGGCAACCTGGGCTCCTCCGGCTGCTCCCTCCTCCCCCTGGTAGCCCAGGGTACCGCCGGACAGCGTCCTCTCGTGCTCCGCGCCCTGATTGGCTGCACAGGCCGCGCGCTGATTGGCGGCGGCGATGCCTCGCGGGCCGGTGGCCATGGAGGCGGCTGAGGTTGATGGTTGACCGTTGGCTCCAGGGTAGGGGTCGCCGTTCGGTCGATCCGCTGAGACCCGACCAGAGGGCACGGGCGGCTGACGCTCGGCCTGGAGCCCGCGGACGAGACCTCGCTCGGCTCCGCCATGCCCGCCGGGAGTAACGAGCCGGACGGCGTCCTCAGCTATCAGGTAGGGCCCGCCTCCCGCCCCTCCCCGGGGCTCAGCCTCCTCATCCTCGGTCCACCTTCCTGCATCTCCCCCCAGCTGGACTCCGCAGGCCACTCCCTGAGGGCGAGGGGAGGCCGTCCCGGGACACCAGGGGGCGCTCCGGGAGGCTGGGGATGGGCAGGGGCTGCGAGAGCGTGACCTTGGGCCGAATCGGGAGCTGGCGGGTCATTGCGGCATCCCGGCTGCCGCCGGCGGTGACCTCTCTCCGCCCGCCCACCCTGGCGGGGAGAGGCTGCCTTCTGGCCTCGCCGTGTCGAGCTGGAACGTGGGAGGAAGGGTGGCCAGGGACCATACTCTGGTGGAGCAAGTCTCCTCTTTGTGTTATTTCTGGGGGTTTCAGGAAGAGCTGGAAAGACTGGAGGCTCGAAACAAGCCCGGGTAGTGTGTCCAGCCTCATGACTCCCACCACCCACTGCGCAGACATCCGACAAGTTCTGAGTCGGGAAGCAGAAATGGGCTGGGGAAGTGTTGAGGAGTCAGGAACAGAGGAGGGAATGAGAGAAACAGGTTTAAGTAACCGATACCCTGACTGTTGGGGTGGCTAATGTAAGGGAAAGCATTGGACTAGGTGTCACAGTCTGTAGGTTCACATCTACACCTGCCTCACACAGGCTTTGCAACCTTGAGTAAGTCACTCGCTGCTTTTAACCTCAGTTCCCCATCTAATAAAATGGGGATGATAATATCTGTTTCCCTTACCTTACAAGGTTGGTTTGAGAACAAAACGAGGTACTATTTGTGAAAGGGCTTTGTGAAATAATGTTTATTGTGTGACAACCAGTAAGTGAGTGGTACCTCACTGAATTCTCTACTACCACCCCCCTTTCCTGTGCAATCAGTTGGTATAGTTACTGCTCTGGAAAGGGACTGATTGAAGGGTGGTCAAGTCTGAAGTGGAGGGCTGTGAAGAGAACGGTGGACCTTGGGAAGGGAAGGATAATGGGTCTTGGAAACAAGTGCCACATTGATACCAGGGATGGTTTCTGTAAGGAAGCAGGGAAAACACTCTGAGTTTGTAGTAAAATGGGTATCAGACACTGACTCATTGCTAGTAGGTCTGTAATTCCTTCTTTGCTTGCTCCATCAAAAAAGGAACCTTACGTAAGATTTTGGAAAATCCATACCTAATCCTGTTAAGGCCTACTAAGTGTATTCACTGTATATTTGGGATACAATGATGAACAAAAATAGCCAATGTCCTTGCCCTCTGGAGCTTCCCATCGTGTGTGTGTGTGTGTATGTGTTGGGGGGGGGGGAGAAGAAATAACATCACAAATAAATGTATTATTATGAACTGTGGTAAGTGCTTTGAAGGAAAGATGTGGACAAAGACAAAATGTGGACAAAGATCTAAAGAATAAGTGTCACCTGAGGAAAGAGGGAGCTCAAAGGGCCCTGGAGACAAAGAGAACACCATATGCAAAAGCCCTGTGGCAGAAGGGGATACATCTGGCTATAAGACCTGAAAGAGGGCCAGTGTGGCTAGAGCCACAAAGAGCAAATGAGGGGAATGATGTGAGATGTACTCTGGTGTCCAAATATACAGGCCATTGTAGCCCATGCTGAGGTAGTTGGTATTTCTCTGAGGAACAAGGGGGAACCATAAAGAGATTTAAATAGGGAGAAAAGAAGAGCGACAGGTAGGGAGAGAGAATAAGCCAGAGAGAGAGAGCCAATGAGATCATGACCAGGTTTTCCTATTAAAAAGATTTTTCTGCCCTGGCCGGTTTGGCTCAGCGGTTGGAGCGTTGGCCTGAGGACCAGAGAGTCTGGGGTTCGGTTCCTGCTAGGGGCATGTACCCCCCCCCCCAAAAAAAGATTTTTTTTGGCTGCAGTGGGGAGAACAGGCTGGAATGAATGTGAGGAGACAGTGTCCTTAATGTGCAATTTGACAGGTTGTATTGTCAAGGTCATAATAACCTCTAGGCTTTTACTGGTGTGCGAAATTGATAGTTCCTGAGTGCTTCTGGCATGGGATAGAAAATAATAACCTCCTTTACTTCTAGTTCATGAAACTCTCATGGGTGATGGGATGAGGAGAAGAAAAGGAATAAAGTGGGAACAGTAGGATCCCATGAAGGCTGAGTTAGGTGATGGACAAATGGGAATGTGGTTATAGGGGGGAAAATAAATGAGGGTGGAAGGAGGAAAGTAAATGGGGTTGACTTGTGGGAGATATAATCAACCAACTGAAAATTACCAGATAAGCACCCTATGTGCCAAGTAGACTGTGTGGAAGGGAGATAGACCTTGCAAAATGAGGAGTTTATATAACTTATATAAATAGAGAGATTCCAGACATCACATCTAGATATCATAAGTCTGTATTATTTTCTCTGGTTTGGACTATTGCACTAGACTTCTAATGATTCCCTCTGCCTTCTCTCTTGCCATTCTACTTTAAGCATGACAGCCAGAGGGAGCTTTTAAAAACACAAATCACAAATCAGATTATGTTATATTCTATATTGAAACGTTTTAGTGATTTCCCAGTGCATTATAGAATAAAATCCAAACTCCGTATGATGGCCTACCAAGCTTTAATATGATCAAGGCCTCAGCCACCCTCCCTGACTGCCTCTCCTCTCCTCTCTCACCATGCACCCCTACACTGGCTTTTCATTTCTTCAATATAGCACTCTCCTTCATGCTTTAGGACCTTTGTTTGTACTGTTCCCTCTGCCTAGGACAATTTTCTACCTAGGCCTTTTTATGACTCAAGTGCCACCTCCTAAGATTGGCTTCCTGACCTTTAACCACAGTCACTCCGTTTCATATGACCCTGTTTTGTTTTGTTTTTTTTTAAATCCTCACCCGAGCCCTGGCTGGTTTGGCTCAGCTGTTAGAGCATTAGTCTGCAGATTAATGAGTCGTGGGTTTGATATCAATCAAGGGCATGTGCCTTGGTTGTGGTTCATCCCCGGCCCTGGTAGGGGTTGTATGGGAGGCAACCAGTCAATGTGTCTTTCTCACATCGATGTTTCTCTTTCTCTCTACCATTCTATCTGAACAAAGATGGAAAAATGGCCTCGTGTGAGTATTAAAAAATAAATAAATAAATAAATCCTCATCTAAGGATACTTTTCCATTTACCTTCAGATAGAGTGGAGGAAGGGAGGGAGGGAGGGGGGGAGAGAGAGAAAGAGAAACATCAATATGAAAAAGACACATCAATTGGTTACCCCACACACGACCCCAACCAGAGCTTGGGACCAAACTGCAACCGAGGTATGTGCCCTTGACCAGAATCAAACCCTCGACTCTTTGGTCCATGGGCCAATGCTCTAACCACTAAGCCAAACCAACTAGGGCCTGTTTTGTTTTCTTAATTGTACATATAATTTATCTGAAGTGTTCTTGTTTTAATTTCTTGCTTGTTTTCAAGTAGAAACTTTATGAGAGCAGGGACCAGGTACAAAGTATTTTCATCTAGCACAGTGCCAGGTATAATATAGGCGCTCAGTTGCATGAGTAAATGAATGATTGATTCTTTCAAAACCAAAGCCAATGGTGCCTCTCCTTAAGGAGCTCATGGCCTTGTCAGGATTAGCACAGGGCAGCAGACTGCCCTTGCTCCGTTACACAAAAGCTCTCCCTTCTGTGCCGTAATGTCTTCGCCCAGGTGTTCCCAGCTGGAAAATCTCCCCTCCTGTCCAAAATGTCCCATTTTAACCTTCAAACTCCTCATCACTATCAGAATTCATCACTCTGTCTTCTCTGCTTATGACACCCACCAAGTTCTGTTACTTCTCCCACCCCTTACTTATGGAATATACATATTCATCTTTACTGCTAACCTGACAGCTCCCTTTGATGATGATGTTTATGTAAGGTTTTATTGATGCTTGCCCTGTGCCAGATACTGTGTCAAGTGCTTTCCATGCATTATTTCATTGAAGTCTCTCAATAATCCTGAGAGTTACATGCTCTTATTATCCCCATTTTTCAAACAAGGAAACCAGTATGAAGAGAGGTTAAGCCACTTTTTCTAATAACTGGCTGCCCCTCTTCAAAGGATGTGCCCTTAATCACTCTACATTACTATAGCTTTTGTCTTTGACTCCTAGACTAGTGTCTGGCTCAGAGTGAGCATTTAATAAGTGTTTGGAAAATATATTTGGCAAGGTATACAAAGGATATTATTAGGATGGGAAGAGACTGGAATGAGGGAGCCAGCAAGGAGGCTGTAATTTAGGATGAATCAATAAGGTCTCATTGAATTTTGATGAGATCTCCAGAGGTGATTATTGAAATTTTAGGAGTCAGTGAACTCTTAAGGGGGTAGTCATGAAAGAGACAAGAAAGCTTTAGGGAAAGCCCCTAGTTTGGACAGGAACTGGGGACATCTTCAAAGCTGTTTGAAATTCTCCTGATTAGCTCTTTCAGAACCAAACAGAAGTGCTGGAGGAGAAGGCTGGAGAGGTCAGAACCATCAGCGCTTCAGTCAAGTGGTTCTGGGACTTGCAGGGAGGTTCAGGGAGCATGGAAGTGAAGGAGTGGGGAGCAAGTGAATTTGGGCAATTACTAAAGATTTTATGTGAACCAGGTCTGCTCAGAATGGAAAATTTTGCAGAAATTTTCAGAATAACAACCTGGTAAGTGAGTGATAGTTGAGAAGCCTGGCCAAATGGGAAGAGAGTCACACTGTATGTCTTATGGTGGGCTTGAGAAAACTCTAAGATAAGAGTTCCTGAATGAGCCCTGGCCAGTTTGGCTCAGCGGTTAAAGCATCAGCCTGTGGACCGGAGAGTCCCAGGTTCAGTTCCCACTGGGGGCATGTGCCTCAGTTGCAGTTTGTCCCCGCCCCGGTTGGGGCCGTATGGGTGGCAACCAGTCAATGTATCTCTCTCCCATCGATGTTTCTCTCTCTCTCTTCCCCCTTCCCTCCCTCTCGTTCTATCTGAAGATAAATGCAAGAATGTCCTCAGGTGAGGATAAAAAAAAAATTTAAGAGTCCCTGA